TTTTTTTTTTCCTCCCCACCCGCAGGGTTGTGTGAGTCAAGATGGAGGACATTCTGTTGCCAGCAACATCTTGCAAAACTGCTCTAGAATTAATAGAGGCACAAAAACCCTTACAGCCTGCCAGCTCTTCCTGCCAAACGCTGCTGTTACTGGCTTCACTGTTATCAGCTACTGCCATCGGCTCCTGCAGTCCACAAAACTCCCAAGCGTCAATAGCAGCTCCTGCTTCCCTAATGTGTCCTGGGCTGCAACGGATCAGCCTGGCAGCGAGCTCAGCAGCTTCTCTAGTCGGAGCAGAAGCTCCTGGTCTGTTCAGTCTAGTGGCAGAGAAAGTTTTTTAGGGTGCTGGCAGCAGTCCTTCAGCCTGACTTCATCAGTTGCTTGGATAACAGCAGACCCCTCGTGTTTGGAAAAAGAAAAGCCCATGAGTCAGCAGAGTGAACAAGAGGAGAGGCCTCTCTCTGCAGAACCAGGCACTGTAAGTCTCAACAATCAAACTCTTTTAGATTCAGAGTTTTGCAGCTCCTCTGTGAGGAAGGGGAGTAAAGAGGAAGAGGATGAATTGAGTTCACAGTCTAATCAGATGAACAGTGTCTCTGCATCTGACAAATTAGAAGGAATTTCCTCTTCAAAGACAGTGTGTTCATTTGATAATAGTTGTGGGTTTTTGCAAAATTTCTTGGAATTTGAGGCAAAAAACACTTACCCAGAGAATAACAGTGGAAATGGCTCCTATCCCAAAAAATCCCACAAATCCCTTTCTTACAAGAGCCAAGTTTCACCTTCTAATCATGCAAATGCAGCTGGAGTGACTCCAACAGATTCCATGTTTTGGGATGAGCTGCCCTTTTCGGAAAGTCTAAATGAATTTTTGGCCAGAGTGGAAGACAACAGGAGCGTGGCAGCTTCACCCGATCGTGGCACAGGCAAACGTGCCCGTGTTGAAGGCAGCAAGTTGGATATGAATGTTACCAAATCATCTCGTGGGCAGAGCCTGGTCACTGGTGATGTGCATGACGTGAGCGCGTTAGGGAAGCTTTTGTCACCAGTGGAAAAGGAGAGCTGGGGGAGCTCCCCCTTTACTTGCTTTCAGCGAAATCCAGCTTCTGCAAGTGACGAGGTGTCAGCATGTGAGTCTGTCTGTAGTGTTTTATCTTTCACTACCAAAGAGCAAAGAGAAGGATGTGGAACAGCTTTCTTCATCCCATCAAGCCCACATCAGCTGATTCCATCACAGTCCACGCCAGTTGCATCAGAGCCTTCTCCCTCCACCAGTAGGTTTGTACAGTCGAAAGAAGTAAATATTGGCATTTCAAAGTCAGCTTGTTCTTTCGTGAGCCCACAGGCTACTGCAGAACTCAGAAAAACCCTGTGTTTACAGAGGAGCGAAGCAGTTGCCTCTGTACATTCTGCATGGGGCAGCTCTTCGTATCGTTGGGAGAATAAAGAAAATTATTCTTACATGCCATGCCAAAAACTAGGTCTTACATGCTCAGGGGCATGGGGCTCTGATCCAGTAACTCCCAGCACCACCAGAAGGACATATAAAAGAGGATTAAAGGCACCTACAGCACTGCAAGAAAGTACCTTTAGAAGTATAAATAAGAGAGAGGTGCCGGGAAACAGTGGCTGCCCTGAAGGCAACTACAATGTTTCTGCTGATCTCTTTGATGCAAGTGCAAGAGAGCTCACTAAAACAGGAGAATTCTTAAGTAAATCACGGAAATCTGTGTTACAGGAAGATGCTTTGACAAAAAAGGGCCCAGCTGAATTGCTGCCTAATTCTGTAGATGTTCCCTGTAACACTTCAAAGTGTAGATGGTCCCCACTTAGGTCCCCTCCTGCTTTTAGCAAACACAGCACACCGCTAACTTTCTCCTTCTGTGATTCAGAATGCAATTCAGGTACTTCCCAAGGCTTCATTCCTTATTCACAGTCAACTCCTGTGGCAAAAACTCTTCAAAGTGGAGAAAGAAGCTCTTTTGTTGCTACATTCACACCTAAAAACCTCACTAAAATCCATTCCAAGCATTCAAGGCTTTCCTTTCAAAACACTTTGCTGCAGCAACTTACGGGTAGATCAATGAAGCGGGAAAGGCCAAGTAAGAGGGAAGACAAAGTGAGTAACAGCTCTGGCTCACAGCATTCCTGGAGCAGCGATGGCTTTGAGGAGTGGGTGCCTCCGTCTGCAGCCAAACGCTTGAAACCAGCAGCATCTTTAAGCTTTAAAGCAGGTAACTTGGCTGCTGGCTTGCAGCCTGCGTGCAAGTTCTTGGACAGGA